ATGCTGCTTGGCCTGCTGTGTTCATCCAGCCCTGCACCTTGTTGTCTTTTAAGCTTCAGTAGTTGTGTAATCACTGATTCGGGATCAGCTCAAGCTTCCTTTTGTCAATCAGTATTTCAATTAAAGTCAAAATTACTACTAATTAAGGTCTGTTCATCTTTTGAATTAACTGCTGAATTAATGCAGTAGATACCCCAATACAATGATCATAACTTAGAAACTACAAATTTACAGCATAAAGGTAGCCATTTGGTCCAGTGTTTCTAAGCGGAGTGTTACAGCATCTTGAGTACATGTCCAAATATTTTAAAATGCGACAAGCATTTCTACCACTACCAACATTTCAGGCAGTTCTGAGGAAGGGTTCACCGGATCCGAAACGTTAACTGTGTTTGTTCCTTCACAGATGCTGCCAGACCTGCTGAGCTTTTCCAGCAACTTGGTTCTTGTTTCAGGCAGAGTTCGAAACCCTGACCACCCTTTGGGTGAAAATTTGTTCTCAACTCCTTTCTAATCCTGCTACAAATTATCTTAATTTCATGTTATAAATTATTGACCTCTTTGCTAATGGAATTTTATTTGCCTATGTACTTTCTTTGGTCTTCTCATGATTTTAAATACCTTTATTAAATCTTTGTAATTAAAACAGCCTGCCTGTTCCAAAGAAAACAACCTAAGCCAATGCAATTTTGCCTCATAGCTAAAATGCTCCATTCCTGAAAACACCTCATAAATTTCTTCTGTAACCTCTTTGGTGTGATCACATACTTCCTATAAAAGTTTATGAAAAATATGTTGCACTGAAAGGTATATGCATGTTGGTTTGGGGTTAATTAATAGGTTCTTGGAGAATTTGAGCCAGTGGAAATGTGCAATAATATAGTGCTGGGAATACATTTTGTGGTTAATTCATACTATATGCAACACTTTACTATGAAGTTGCTCTGAAGTAATTCAGAAGGCAATCAGCTGGAGAATTGTGCATGGAATACAAGATTAAACAGTCCAGTTGAAAATGAAAAAGCAATTAAGGAGCAGTCAAGGGTGACAAAGGATTAGAAGGTCAAGAATTATGAATGGCAGGAGTTGAAAAAGGAATGAAGAGAAATTATATGAATACTGCCCAGATACTTTGCATCCACGGTTATGGTGCTGCTGTTTAATATCACCTCAATATTGCACTTTTTTTCTAGGTTTGTTCAGGCTCTCGTGATGCAGTGATAGCATCTCTACCTCTGAGCCAAGGGCACTGAGTTCAAGTCCCACCTATTCCAGAGCTGTGTCATAACATCTCTGAACAGATTGATTAGAAAATATCTAGATCTCTCAGTGAAGTACCTGGAGTGAGTATGAACCTACAGTTTTATGACTTGGAGGCAAGATTGCAAATCTTGAGCCAAGCTGACAACAGCAGAGATAGTTTCAGAATGAAGTGTTGGATTGAACCTGAAATAGAGGCTTGTGACAGGAACATGGATGCTTCCATGTAACAATTGGACTGTTTGCACTGTTAATCATATCTACTGTTATGCATAGATATGTACATGATTTTACATGTTTTAATACAAAGAGAAATCATAGCAACCCTTCAGAAGTAACTTTCCTTCTGTTTGAATGGCTTCATGCATAATTGCTGATACTGATTGCTCTCACAACTGAGAAGCCCATGGAAAGAAAGTTACAGCTAAATGAAGGATTTACTGGCCATCACTTCTTTCCCATTGCTGCACAGCAAGAGGATAAGACTTAGAAACAACTAGGATGCCCTGCAGATAACCTGCCTTTCTGACAATTATGCATTTAAAAATTCTTGACATGCATTGTATCTGCTCTCTACTCCAAAATGTGGACTGTTCATTGGACTCAGAATGGAGGCAGTCTTTCATTGCATCTGTGAGTTGCATAGAAACACAGAATATAGGACCAGGAGGAGGCCATTCAGCCCTTCAAGCCTGCTCCACCATTCGTCACGATCATGGCTGATCATTCAACTCAATAGCCTAATCCTGCTTTCTCCCCATAATCTTTGATCCCATTCACCCCAAGTGCTATATCTTGTTGTCTCTTGAATACATTCAATGTTTTGGCATCAACTAGTTCCTGTGGTAATGAATTCCACAGGCTCACCACTCTTTGGGTGAAGAAATGTCCCTTTTTCTCCATCCTAAATCATCTACCCTGAATCCTCATACTGGGACCCCTGGTTGTGGACACACCCACCATCGGGAACATAATCCCTGCATCCACCCTGTCCAGTCCTGTTAGAATTTTATAAGTCTCCGAGATTCTCCCCCATTCAAGAGCAAATTCCAATGAAAATTATAAACTTGACCCTGTTCTTTAAACAGCATCACCATATTGTTCAATATCAAACTGCAGTTCCACCTTTAAATTGGTGCACACTTTTGTCAACTGTCATTTAAAATGTCACCAATTCCCAGATTTGTAAAACGAAACCATATTACAATTTGCTGTTTATCCAGACAATGCAATCAGTTCAACTGCTTCATTTGTTAAAACAAACATTCCACAGCTGACTCAGCATTTTCTTGGAACTACCTTTGCAAATAACCTCACTCAAAAATTTGTTTTCCATTGGTAATATCTGTTATTAGAATGATCTCATAGAATGATTAAATAATTACTTCATCCTGCTTCTTTGGAAATCTCAACGTGCCATTCATTGAGAAATCATCTTTATTTCTGTATCTCTGAATTACATTGGTACAAATGCATTTTCCATGTATAATAAAATGTGGAGTACAGATGTTAGTGAGCAGCTTGCAATTTATTCTTATTATGACAAAGCATACCATATTGGGGCAGCACGGTGGCTCAGTGGTTAGCACTGTTGCCTCACAGCAGCAGGGACCTGGGTTCAATTCCACCCTTGGGCAACTGTCTGTGTGGAGTTTGCACATTCTCCCCGTGTCTGCGTGGGTTTCCACTGGGTACTCCAGTTTCCTCTCACAGTCCAAAGATGTGCAGGCTAGGTGGATTGGCCATGCTAAATTGTCCATAGTGCTCAGGGATGTGTAGGTGGGTTATAGAGGGGTGGGTCTGGGTGGGATGCTCCAAGGTTGGTGTAGACTTGTTGGGGTGAAGGCCTGTTTCCACACTGTAGGGATTCTATGATAATGTTTGTATGATTGTCAATTTTTTAAATAATCTATTAGGTCTCAGTGGCTGCTTCACATGATATACAGTCATGACTATGAGAACATGGAATTGATTTGTTTAACCCTTGTACTATTTTTAATTAAAATGGATTCGCTCAAAATCTTTTCAAAATGGAATCTGCAATTTTAT